TACTACTGAAAAATGCATTTCGTACATTGCAGCGGCGGAACATCGTTATCAATTGGGGGGGGGGGGGGGGGTGGGCTTGGGACCCTTTGCCCAGGCCAGCAGATCAGCCTCCCCAATATACAGATGAAATCTATCAGTCTTACCCACCATACTTGATGACTGAGGAGGCTATGCAAGCAGAAATGAGTAAGCATGAAATACTTTTTGGATCCTGTTCAAATGGCAATGTCACGTGGACCGAATCCGAGGGCGCACAGGTGCACCGGAAGTTCTCACAAGTTTTGGTCGCACCAGGTCTCAGCCAACGGCCTTAGGCTCCCATACGTGACAGGTGATGCGTGTTACGGAAGTCGCGGGCGAAGCCTTTTTCCCTCCGCTCATCAGTTCCTGCACATCTGATGACGCAGTATTTGGTCTGTTCTGAGGTTGGTCGACCCATAACAAAGCCGGGTAGGGTCTTGACTGGTTTTGAAAAGCTTCAGCCGTAGCCTGCAGAGTGGGGTTGCTCCAGTGCAAGGCCCTAGAACAGGGCTCCAGTGCTACAGTGCGCTTGACGGCAAGCTCTATGGACTCTTGTATCTCAATGATACCTTTGTGGCACCCTACATGTCGTCGTGGGAGGAGAAAGTGACATTAAGGCGCAGGGAATATGGCGGCGGCACCTACTTTTCCAAAATAGGTACAAACGTTTGCATTTTAGTGATAGCATCGTAGCGAATTTTCCACACCATCTTTCCGCATCATTCCCTGCCACATATGCCGTGGTTTCCACGAATTCAACAGTAAAACATGAATCGCGCGGGGTGTCTGAAGGAACCCGAGTCTATGGCAGGGGCGGATCCAGGATTTCGTCGAGGGAGGGGGGCACACAACATTGTGGGGACCCCCTCCAAAAGACATCCCACCATTTCCATCATTACATTTTAAGATAGGTCGTATGTAACATACTGCATATATATATATACTATATATATATATATATATATATATATATATGCTTATTTATTTAATAAATACGGAAGCCCATCTGACTGGACAGCCCTACAAAGCTAGGCGTGCTACGCATACATAAACAGAACTCACTCATTTTCTACAGATCACGTTAAGTGCTTTTATTTGAAGGCAAATCGTTTCTCAGCAACAGGCAGAATAAACTTGAAGTTAGCTGCTAACCACCGTCAAAACCAAGCATGACCTTGATTTCTACTTATGTATTTACGGCTAGCCAGCTCGGCGATGTAATCGGCCGATGGCTGATGACAAATGCATAGTTTCCCCTTGTTATAAAGGAGTACAACATATCCTAGTATTCAAAATATGTTAAGAACGTGATGCGCTAATATAATGAGTGCCATACACTCAATAGTCAATGGAAATGACACATACGAGGTCGGCGGCATGTAAAATTGCATTCGGCAATGGCGCGTAAGAACTCATCGCCGCACATCCGACTACTGCTTGAAGGCGAAGGCACCAAGACCAATAGGGACGGGACCTGAGCGATCATTGGGGGCTGCAGGAGGCCAACAAAGTGGCTCCCGTCAACAAGAATAGGGTCCTCAGAGCCAGTAAAAAGAGCCCAAGACCAACGGGTGAGCCCCTACACGACCGGTAGTGCCCCGGCAGGCTGGCATGTAAAACCCCTAACAGAGCACATTAACCCTCCTCACCCTCCTACTCTCCTACCCCATCCTCCTCCTACTCCTGTGCGATTGAGATACACGGGCAGGTTAACAACACGAGCCCCGATAGGTGTGAAGAGTCCTGCCGCGAATGAGACCAAAGGGAGAGAGCCCCAAGAGCCCCGAGTAGAGAGTAGAGAGCCCCCGAACATCGAGTGTCTCCGTGTCTTACCTTATAAGAGCCCTAGCGACAGTACAAGGCCCTCCGAGCAGGTGAAAAGAAACCGGTACTAATATGATAGGCCCCTTAACAACTGAGTGTACCCTAGAATATGGGGCCCCGGAAAAACCGTATAGAGCCTTTCGGACGAATGGGAAGAATCCGTGGAGGAAAATATAATCGATCAACAGTGCTCAGGCATTGAGGCAGACAGCGTCCCAACAACTTATTGGGCCCTACGAGAAAATGCAAAGAGGTAAAGGAAAACGTGGAAAGCTCCTTAGCGATCAGATTGACCCGGCAAGTGGACATATGGGGGCAGGCAACCAACAGCGTAATGCTTCTATACAGCGTAATGAGCCCCGAAATTTCCCCCAAGCAACTTTTTCTCAATCAGCGAAGAATGAACTTCGTCCACTGATAAATTCTTTAGTTTTGCTAACAATTGTCATCGGTCGTCTTTGGGCCCAAATACATCCAATTTTGTTGTTTTTTTTTGTGTAAGAAACTGCGGCCATCCGTCCAGTTATGGCCCCTCCGGAGCCTTTAACTCCCTTCGGCATGATCTATGGGGCTATGGTCACGGGCCTCCCCTCCACCCTCTGCATCTGCCACCGGTCCGAGCAGCTTAACAGATGGGGCCCACCATGAACATAAGGCTGCCCATTGAAATGATAAATACTCGCGACACAATGTGTAGGGCTCTGAACGATCGAGTGTGCTCGGGCAGATTAGCATATAGGCCCCCCGTCAAGAGCGTAGGACCTCCATTCAAATAGGAAGTACCCAAGACCCGATGAAGAAGAGCTCCGAATGATCGCGGTGTACCCCGTCAGGTTAACAGATTAAGGTTCCCAAAAAGGGCGTAGGGCCCTCCATTCAAACAGGAATTATTAAGACCCAATGAAGGGGACTCATGAATGATTCAGTGCGTCAGACCAGGTTAAAGTATAGGCCCCCGTCAGAGCGTAGGGCCCTCCATTCAAAAAAGGAAGTACCTAAGACCCAACGTAGAGGGACCCCGAATGATCGAGCGCACCAGAGCAGGTTAACAAATAGAGCTCCCAACAAGCGCGAAGGGCTCTCCATTCGAATGGGAAGCGCTGAAGACCCTATGTAAATGGCCCCAGAATGATGGAATGTGCCTAAACAGCTTATCAGAAGGCGCCTGACACGAGCGTGGGGCCCTCCATTCAAATAAGGAGTACCCGAAACCCGGTGCGGAGGGCCCCCGAAAGATCCCCCGAGCTCGGGCATACCCGAAAGGGTGTACCCGAGCAGATTATCAGGCGGCCCAGACAGGAATGTAAGGCCCTAAATTCAAACGCCAAGACCCAATATACAGGGCCTCCGAACAATCCAGTGTGGTCGAAGCGGCGAACAGATGGGGTCCCAGACAAGTACGTAGGGCCCTCCATCCAGATAGGAAGTACCCAAGACGCAATGTTGAGGGCCTTGAATATTCGAGTGTGCCCGAGCAGGTTAGCAGATGAGGCCCTGCAAGAGCGTAGGCCTCATTCAAATAAGGAGTACCCGAAACCGGTGCGGAGGGCCCCCGAAAGATCCCCCCGCTAGTCGGGCATACCCGAAAGGGTGTACCCGAGCAGATTATCAGGCGGCCCAGACAGGAATGTAAGGCCCTAAATTCAAACGCCAAGACCAATTATACAGGGCCTCCGAACAATCCAGTGTGGTCGAAGCGGCGAACAGATGGGGTCCCAGACAAGTACGTAGGGCCCTCCATCCAGATAGGAAGTACCCAAGACACAATGTGAGGGCTCTTGAATATTCGAGTGTGCCCGAGCAGGTTAGCAGATGAGGCCCTGGCAAGAGCGTAGGGCCTTCTGTTCAAATATGAAATACCCATGACACGGTGTAAAAGGCCCCGAATGATCCAGCGCGTCAGAGCAAGTTAACAGACGGGGCCCCCGAAAAGAGCGGGGGCCCTCCATTCAAAAGAAAGGACCCAAAACTAGATGTAGAGGTCCCCACGATCGAATGGGCCCGAGCATCTTATCAGAAGGCACCCCGACGGAGCGTAAGGCTATTCAAATAAAAAGTACCCAAAACCCACAAGAGCGTAGGGCCCCCCACTCAGAAAAAAGTACCCAAGATCCAGTGTGGAGGGTTCCCCAAGCGAACTGAGTGTGCCCAAGCAGGACATCAGATGGCCCCCGACAAGAGTGTAGGGCCCCAAGCAAGTGAAAGCAGAATTGGAAGCGCACTGGACCAATGTAGAGGGCCCCTGAGCATATTGCAAGTGTGTCGGCAGGTTAACCGCGACCCACGTAAAGGGCCCCCGAGCAACGAGAATAACCCGCAAGTTATGGATGGGACTCCGTGCTTTAGCCCACAGAGCCTGTCTGGCGAATGGACAGAGTTCGTGGAAGGGCCCGTGATTGACAAGAGTGCCCCGGCACGCTAGCAGGAAGGTCCCCAACAACAGCGCAGGCCCTCTGAGCAAATGTAAAGAAATTAAGGGCAACGCGGAATGCTCCTCAACGATCAAAATGGTCCTGCAAGTGGACATATAGGTCCCCCGAAAACAGCCTGGGGCCCCTAGACACTGTAATAGACTTAGAATTTCCAGTAATAAGTTTTCCAATCATTGAGCATAAGTCAAGAGATATCTTGTTGTGATGCGTTTTGGTGTTTAGAAGGAACTGCACCTGTCGGCCGGCTATGGGACCCCTCTCGGAGCGAATGGGCCATTCAGGGCCCCAAGGGGCCATGGCCCCGTGCCCCCCCCAGGATCGCCAAACAATGTTTGAATGAGTGTATGTAAGGGAGCCGGGCGTCGTGACCAGCCTGGACGTCTTCGGCTGATATCCGGTGCTACAACTGCTTTCAATTTAGCTGCATCAAGCTCCGAGAAAAATGGCTTGAATTTGTTGAGAGTGAATACCAAGTTGAAAAGAAAACAATTTAACGGTACAAAGAAAGACAGCTTGAGGCAATGTTTTGTCTTAGAATCACGGACACGAATTCAAGCACCTTACGATATTTCCTGTTCACATCAAGAGCTTACATCTTGGGTGCGTGCGTGCGTGTGTCATCTAGTGGTAGATTATTTAACTCATAGTGCGGTCTCCCTGCGTAATGCCGACCGGAAAGCAGCGGCTTCCGTGTACGAGGCGGTTCGGGCGTTGCTGGATGTGGGTTGGTGACGAATGTCCGTTGTGTTAGGGAAAGCCTGTGATTGACCGCTACGGTAGCTACGGTGTTTCCAGCTGGATATAGAGGTATGTGGTCGTGGTATCGGTAGTAACGATAAATTGCTGGATGGGGTGCTTGCACCGGAAGAATTGGGGGATACTGGATGAGGAACAGGCTGAAGTGTATGCTTACATGGGACATGGATGCTGCAAAAAATTGTTCCCTCAAGCACGCTGTAGCCTTGTTGATTCCGCTTTAATCGAAATGAATCCCTGTTATGTATATGACCACATTATTTAAGCTTGGGAATGCCTGCTGAGACCTTTCATGCAGTTCATGCCGATACTATATGCTCTGATTGTCTATTTTGCCATGAAGCATGGTATGAAACTATCCATGCATTGCAAAGCTCCCTAAATTTGGTATTCATTGCACTTATAATCTGTGAAATGCCTGTCAACATTTGGTTGCTTCAGTATTTATAAGTTAAAACCAGGACAATGGCTACAAATGGTGTGTCAGGATGATGTTCCAGGAAACTTTTACTAAGAAAATGTGCCTAAGGTTGTGCTGGTTGATAAAATATCACTACCTTGCTTTGCAGGATTACTGATCATTGGGTCACTGGGATGCTTGTTCAGGATCTGGATGAAGGCTACTTGGCTTATTCATGCTGCTCATGTTAGGCTCTCATTGACAGCCCAGACTCTGGATGTTATGCATGCATGGGCCTTTTGAGCATCTGTTTGGCCTGAAATTGAATGACTGTAAACACATACTACCATGGGGGGAGGTGGAGTCTAATGATGCCAACCCAGTCTAATAATACCTACCCACTACCCACTTGTGAAATGGTTGGCCAAATGAGTAATGTTGGCTGTTAGTGCAGTCAGGTGATGGCAGGCATACAGTCTGAAGGCTCATCCACAGTCCTTGTAATGCTTGCTTCAGCTACAACTATAGCAAGCATTGAAGTGAAATAGAAGGGAAATCTTTATTTACAAATTTGTTTTTGGATTATTTCATTAAACTACAGAGATACCCATGCATGCATGCATGCATGAGTGAGCATTCCTTATTAGGTAGAAATAAGTATTAAGGTAGACAAGCCTTCCCTAGCTGTTTAAACCAAGTGAATAGAAGTGATGAATCAAAACAATAGACCAGTGACCTCTGTTTTTATAAGGAGAGTGACATTGGGACTGGTAGTTGCTAGGACATGAAAATGTCAGCTGCTCATGTTGTGAACATGACTGGAGAATGCAGCATGACAGATGTGGCAGCAGCCAGCCACCCTTTTTCTAAAATTGCTATGGGCTGCACATTTCTATTAAATTGGTTTCTTCAAGCTGTTAAGTCACCTTGACTCCTAAGTTGTGATTCCTTTAGAAGGACAACAATGCTAGAAATCATAGTGTGGCCAAAAGATTGCCAAATTATTTATCCATAAAGTTATGAGATAATCAGTTCAGATGTAAGTGCTCAGGTCATTAGCATATCCAAATCCTTATAGAAATGCTGCTAAGGAAGTCACTTGCTGCAAAATTCAAATCCAGTTGTTCCAAATCAGAGTCTCCATGAAGACTAACTGAGGTGACCAAACAAATTACCTGGAATACAAAAGCCAATCAACTTGCAACCATTAGACACATATAAGTAAAAGTGCTGCTTGAATGGGCATGTGCTGTCACAATGTAAAACTTATGTTGAAGCTGTGTAAGGTACCCAATGTGCAAATTGCAGCAGAGTGAATAAATGATGCAGTAAATATTATTGTATCACAAAACATCTTGTCTCCAGCTTAAACATGTGACAAAACACTTGGTGCTCTAAAGATGTTCTCCTGATTTTTTGCTCAGGCCCAAAAGAACTCGACAGAATTCACTTTTAACCCATAGTAAGGTTTATCCTGTGACATTTCATTGATATTCCACCCTTTATAAGACATTTGTGCCTAAATTGTAATCTGTTTCATAAAACAAACAACATTGGTGCTAGGATGATGATGTGTCTATACAGGGAGATAGTGCTTGTTGGACAAATAAGGGGATCTGTCCATTGGGCTTTGCTTGATTCTTCCTCAGTGGAATCAATTCTGGCTCTGATTTGCATTATGTGGGGGTTTCTTCTGACTCTGATTCCAGCCAGGATGGCACTAATTCTGACTCAAGTAGGTATGGCTGGATCCCATGTCTGATTCCCACACTGTTGATTCCTGTGACAGAATTTTTGGACCTACCCTGTGTTATGGGAGTTATAGCACCCTACACAGGGCAGCTCTTTCAATAAAGAGACAGGTATGTATGACAGTACATTGATTTCTTCTGGTGCACAGATAGACTGTTAGTTGACAAAGATGTCTTGTTGCATTCTATTTGGTTCAACAAAGTTAATGATGTGGAGGATGTAACTTTGGCTCTGACTCTTTAAGTTCCAAATGAATGAATTCTTGCAGGCTCTGATTGACTCCAGGCTCAATTCCAGCGTGACCTGCGGCCAAGAACAGGTCTTCAGTCCATCTTCCATCCATTGGCAATGCCAGCAGGTTATTGTGATGATCTGTAGAGGTGACAGCTATCCTGGTGCCAGTCTGCAGATTGTGGGGTGCGGAACATTATGTGCAACAGGGCAGCTGCTCAGCCAGTGGCACAATGGCGTCTATTGGTGACTGAACAATCTCCGCCGATCTGTGGATGGCGACGGAAGCTGTATTAGGTTGATGATTGCTGAGGTTGCATTTGCATGAACGATGCTCGAGCCCGACTGTCCGTTAGGGTGACCTTGGGACACAGAAAAAGAGCAAGTACGCCTGGTGCGGCAATAGCACGGAGCCCGTCAGCGGGCAGCTGTTGCGCTGCCGGCGCCGGTTGACGCCGGTTCTGATAGCCGGACCGCATCGCCGCCCGGCGACGGCCGTGGCCGCTGTTGACCGTCGCCGGCGTCTGTTTACCATGGTCATGGTCGTCGGGACTCGCGCCGCGGCCGGGCACGCGACTCCGGCCGTGTGCTGTGTGCGCCGCCGCGATTAGGGGGTCCGTGCTGCTGCACGGTGACGCTCGCGTGCGGCCGTCCAGATAGCGGCGCCGGCAGGTGCGCCGTGTCAGGCGCGACACGGAGGGCACCGCGGTCCCGGCCGGCCCGGGAGTGTGCGTCGGAATACGAGGCGGCGCGGCCGGCGCCCGCCGTATGCGGTCGCACTGCTCGGTGAGGCCGGCTCGGAAGGCCAACCACAGGGCAGACGGCAAAACGGTCTGGGCGTCAACGGAGGCCATGGCATAGTACGTCTTGCCGCGGAAATTTGCTGGTTCGGTTCTACTGGAGTCGATGTTTTGAACAGCTTGCATTTTGTCCATTTTTAACTGTTCCATTCCACGAAGCAATGTGCCAATGTCATATCGCGAACCCCGTCATAGCTGCACACCTATGGTATCACCTATGGCAGTGTCACTTGCCACTAATGCTTCTCATTGCATGAATGGTAGGAATAAGGGCCCCCGAGAGCGCCGGGAGAACTGCGCTTTTATCAGACTGTGTGCGTGTGTATGGTGTCTCATTGCAAGCCTTCCTCTTTTACAGACCATGGTGTAACAGAACGCCAAGATGTCTTTTCTTAAGAATTTGAAGAGCCTCTTCACTGGAGGCGGTGAGAACGCCTCCAAGAAGAGGCGCGTGTTGAACAATGTGAAAGTCGGCATCAACCCCGAGGAAGTGTGGGACCTGCAGGGAGAGCTGGGCGATGGCGCCTTCGGCAAGGTTTACAAGGTCAGTCTTAGCTAGCACAGCCCGCTTTGGTACCAGCGTCATTCTCGTCTGAGCAAAATGATACGTGCTCTTTTGTGTGATCTCATGATTTGGAGATCTTGCAGTCTTGATTTTTATCATGCCATAAAAAGCTTGTGCCCCAAACGTGGCGGACTTCCTGCGACGCTGGACAGGTATTCCAGCCACTGCTCATCTGACTGGCTGACTAGTGGCTGCCTGAGTGGGTGGCTGGCACACGTGACAGGAGGTAACTGCTCTGAGCCGGCGCTCCTCCCTCAACAGGCGGTGCACAAGGACACGGCGCTGGTGGCCGCGGCCAAGGTGTGCGAGATGAACGAGGACGACGAACTGGAGGGCTTCATGGTCGAGATCGACATCCTCACCGAGATGCAGCACAAGCATGTGGTCAAGCTGCTGGACGCCTACTTGCAGAGGAAGCAGCTCTGGGTATGCAGCACCGATATGCGGCTGGTGGAGACGTGTAACAGATGTAGCGTGGCCCTGACAGTAGCTAGTCTGTGGCTCGCGACCTGTGAATCGCGTGAATTTTTTTGCATTATTTATACCCATTCGTAGCACAGTCATTGCGGACTGAGCATCAAGGAGCTACCACTGCTGCGATAGTCGTCTAATTTTGCTTGTCTTTGTTTAAACGTGTCGTGTGTTCCGTCCTCCAGCATGTATCATCTTATCATACGGTAGATGCTGCCAGCCGGAGGTGGAGGCGTCGCGGCACCAGGTCATCGTTACACGCGACTCAAACCGAGATGACGTAATGGACTCATCTGCTCTTCTTTGTCCTTCGGCTCTTATGCGGCTCGGGGCTATTGTGTGTCAGAGAGCTCACCGGTGTCGACGCCCGCGGCAGATGCTGCTGGAGTTCTGCGACGGCGGCGCGGTGGACTCGATCATGGTGGAGCTGGACCGAGGCCTGAAGGAGCCGCAGATCGCCTACATCACCCGCGGCATGGTCGAGGGCCTCGAGTACCTGCACAACAACAAAGTCGTCCACCGCGACATCAAGGCTGGCAACGTGCTGCTCACCATGGACGGTGGCGTCAAGCTGAGTCAGTGCCCCGCTCGCCCGCGCCGCTCGCGCTGGCCTGGGCTCCGCACGGCCGGGGGACCCTCCCCCCCCCCCCCCCCAGCGCCGCTCGCTCGCGCTGGCCCGGCTCCGCACGGCCGGGGACCCTCCCCCTCCCCCCCAGCGCCGCTCGCTCGCGCTGGCCCAGGCCCCGCACGGCCGGAGACCCCCCCCCCCCCCAAGTTTATCGCCGACGCATGTTTTGCGAACTGCGGGTGTCTTTTCTGGGCGGAGGCGCCTGTGCACGCGGTTTTTTTCATCAGCTGTGTGAGAGTAGTGGACTGCGTCGACCTTGACCGACTGAACAAATCTGCTGCGTTTTGATCGTATTACCGCTATGTACAGGAAGGAACGATTGGTGCCTTCCCCGTGACCTCGACGCGTGTCGCGTCCGGGAGCGTCGCGTCGCCGGCGCCGCCCGCCGCGTCGCCGGACGCTGACGCCGTCCGTCTCCCCGCAGCCGACTTCGGCGTGTCGGCCAAGAACAAGCACACGCTGCAGAAGCATACGACGTTCATCGGCACGCCGTTTTGGATGGCGCCCGAGGTGATCATCTGCGAGACCTCGCTCAGCGACCCGTACGACAAGATGGCCGACATCTGGTCACTGGGCATCACCATGATCGAGTTCGCGCAGAAGGTACGGAGAGTGGTGCCCACAGCCGCCGCGTCAGGCAGCTGGTGGTGAGGCGCCAGCTGCCTGGGTTAGCGGCGGAACATTTGCCGAGAGGTGTCTTAGTGCAGTGAAGAGTGTGTGACATGCTCCGTTTGACGCGATGGTGACGTAGCGGCTGTGTTATGGCATGGTGATGATGAGGGCGGAAGGGGTGCTGGGGAGATAAGTTCTATGGCCACTCTTCCTTGGGGGTCCTCATGTACCTTTGCTGTATGTAAGCTCAGTATTGAGTATGGTGGCAGGTCTTGATGTGTACGGTATCCTTGAGGGTCGCTGGGTATTGTCGGGGCTGCACCCACTTCCGCGTCCCAGACACTGAACATTGAATACGGAAGCGCAGACGGGCGATTGATGCCGCGCGTTGCTCCTGATCGTGGCGAGATCAGAGCCTGGTTCATAAGTGACACGCACTTCGAGCACGTCCCTATCCCCGTGCCGACACGACCACTCTCGGGCAGCCCTGCACCAGCGCGTGACCGGCGCCGCCGTGTTTTCGTGTGCGGGACTGGGTGTGACGCTACCGCGCGTCCGCAGGAGCCGCCCTACAACGAGCTGAACCCGGTGCGCGCCATGCTGCGGATACAGAAGTACGACCCGCCCACACTGGACCGGCCCAGCCAATGGAGCAAGGAGTTCAACGCCTTTATCCGCGCCTGCCTTAAGAAGGACGCCAGCAAGCGGCCCGAGGCCGTCGACCTGCTGCAGGTGGGGCGTGGTCGGCGGCCGGGTGCCGCGCCGCCGCGATGGGGACCGCAGGAGCCCTGCTGCTGCCGGGCCGGGGCGGTGTCGCGCGCTGTTGCCGCCGGACGAGCCGCTGCCCCGCACTATCGCGGCTGGGCGGGCCGATGGATGGGACGCTCGCAGCCGCCGCTGAGTGGGTCGATAGACAGCGGACCAATGTTACCGATCGCCCCCCGCAGCCGGAGTGCGATGTCTCCCGTCTCAGGTGGCCGTGCGGCGGCGTCTCAGGTGGCTGTGCGGTGGCGCCTGTCCCGCCGCCGGATGCCGGGGAATGGGGGGGGGGGGGGGGGGGGGCGGTCGGCACAGCTGGCGAGGCCAACCGCCCGTCAGGCTTTCGGCCGCGAGCCAACCTTCGATTAGCACAATGCTGCCGGTCCGTTCTATTGGCTTAAGAATCACAGAAGGCCTGGCGGGCGGCACACAATCCAAGCTAAAGAGATTGCACACAGGCGGGGAAGCCGTATGAGAATCGCGGGCTTTGCAAATCGTCGCGTACATCCCTGGTTGTAGATACGTGTCGAGGTGGTTCGGTATCTGCACTCCACTCAAGTGGTTGTTTGAGTGGTCCAGAGCGAGGGTTCTTGTTAGCCGTATTCATCAGCACGACATGGTTTTTCTGCCACGGTCGTGGGTCTAAACTAACAATCAATCTGTCACACTCGCAGATATTGCCATCTCGTATACATCTGTCAAGAGATGTTTGTGGTCTCAGTTGTCGGCTGCCAAATGCCGCCCGGAAGCATGCACTGAACAAAGTGCTAGCTGCCGCTTCTTAGGATAACACAAAGTGGTCCGTCGTGTCATGCTCGCGACTGTAAGAGGATTTCAAGTGTCGCTACATGTGGTAACGTTCCCGAGGATGAGTGTCGCCGCTGTTGACGATGCGGCTGGCGGTGTTCGCCTTTTGAGAAGATGCTCACCGAAGTGGTTTCGGCGTCGGCGTTCCTCCGCGAGCCGTGCTCGCCGCAGCTGACGGCGACATGGCCCCGCGTGTCGCCAACAGATGGCGTTCATCAACCGCACCCTGGACAACAAGCCGATCCGGGAGCTGCTGCTCGAGTACAAGGCCGACGTGGTGGAGGGCATCGAGGACGCCGCCGACGAGGTCAGTCCCGACGTCAGCTCGACCTCCCGCGCCGGGACCCGAGCCCGCCACCGCGCACAGGAGACCCCCTCCCCCCCCCCAAGCGAGGTCAGTCCCGACGTCAGCTCGGCCTCTCGCGCCGGGACCCGAGCCCGCCACCGCGCACAGGGCAGCCCCCTCCCCGGCGAGGTCAGTCCCGACGTCAGCTCGGCCTCCCGCGCTGGGACCCGAGCCCGCCACCGCGCACAGGGCAGCCCCCTCCCCGGCGAGGTCAGTCCCGACGTCAGCTCGGCCTCCCGCGCTGGGACCCGAGCCCGCCACCGCGCACAGGGCAGCCCCTCTCCGGCGAGGTCAGTCCCGACGTCAGCTCGGCCTCTCGCGCCGGGACCCGAGCCCGCCACCGCGCACAGGAGACTCCCCCCCCCCCCCCGGCGAGGTCAGTCCCAACGTCAGCTCGGCCTCCCGCGCCGGGACCCGAGCCCGCCACCGGCCCCGCGCACAGGACAGCCCCCCCCCCCCCCGTGCAAACTCGGATCGTCGGTGAAAAGTGCGCGGTGAAAGTGGTGAAAAGTGCGTCATGAAACGGAGCGCGTGCAGTTTGATACGGACCATGCGGTAACGGTGGCTGGTTTCATGTGGTTCGTTGCTGGCCTTTTCAGTGATGAAGCCACTCAAGCCTTTGGAGCCACTTGTGATTTGCCCACTTGAGCCCACTTGCAGCTGTGGCTTTTGAGCTTTCAAAGTAAGCGGCACTGATATGCTGAGCTTGCAGTAAATATTGTGTTACGGAACCCAGACCTGCTGTCGATCGACTTCATGGATGCAGTATGATTCTCAGGAGTCAGAGGGGAGATTACATTTTTTTAAAGAAGCTCTGCCGAACCCATGTACGTTTCATGTCTCGGTCGTCTTCGTCGTATCTTCGGTTGTTGCGAAGTGAACATGAAGGCCATCGAGATCACGTTTTTTTACTCCTTGTAATGTATGGGCCTAGAACGGCAGCAGGGTAACGTTCTTTAAACTGATGCACAGTTTACGGTACGGTGACCGGAAAGAAAGCAAAATTGTAATTCGAATCAAAGACAAAGCTGTGACTGCGGTAAGTTGTGGATGTTCTACACGCCCTGGGCTTCAGTCAATGTCATATTCCCAGACCAGATAGATAAACAACATTTAGCCATCTAAATCCCAATTCGGTGAAGCTTGTGTTGACCGCAGGCTCAGAGCATGACTGTTTATACATTTTAGAAAGGAAAAACATTACTCGAGAGTGATAATACACTGTTTATCCATTTCACGGTGTTGTGAGTGATGAGTGTCCCTTGTGGTCAGTCTTCTGCGTCCTGTTTCCCCCGAGCTCGTTCGTGCGGTCAGTCTTCTGCGTTCTGTTTCCCCCCGAGCCCGTTCGTGCGGTCAGTCTTCTGCGTTCTGTTTCCCCCCGAGCTTGTTCGTGCGGTCAGTCTTCTGCGTTCTGTTTCCCCCCGAGCTCGTTCGTGCGGTCAGTCTTCCGCGTTCTGTTTCCCCCCGAGCTCGTTCGTGCGGTCAGTCTTCTGCGTTCTGTTTCCTCGCGAGCTGATTCGTGCGGCCAGTCTTCTGCGTTCTGTTTCCTCGCGAGCTGATTCGTGCGGTCAGTCTTTGCGTTCTGTTTCTTCGCGAGCTGATTCGTGCGGCCAGTCTTCTGCGCTCGTTCGTACGCGAGCTGTTCGGCTGTGTGTCCAGCGTCCATGTCCGTGCCGCACGCTTCACCCGTCGCCTCCCGACCGGGGCCGACCCGTGCCTCCGTACCGCCGTGCCGCCGTGTGAGCGCGCCGCGCCCCTGTGTTTCACGCTGCCCAGGCCAGGAGGCGGCGAGCGCCGCCCGGAGCTCGCGCCCGGAAGGTAGGCGGCGCCGCAGGTGGGTGGAGCGCGGCGCCCGCCGCACGCTGGGCGCCGCCGCCGCGCCGCCCCGCCCCCTGGTGACTGCCGCTCGCCCGGCACCGGTCGAGGGTGGCCCGCCGCGTTCCCCGATAGGACCCTGGCGTGCAGATGTTGAGTGGCTGGGTTCTGACGGCTGGGGGTGTCATGAGATGGCTGAGTGGTCACGGGGGACAGTGAGAGGGCATATATCAGCTGGAACTAAGCGCCGCTGGCACACAGGCTGCACGTTGCACCGTGTAATATCACGGTCATACACTGCACGCGCATGGTGGGTCCAGGTGCCGGAGGCGGGGGCCGAGCTAGGATATCGAGCCCCGGCTTCCTCCAGGTGTAGTGCCGCCGGTGACGTAGGTATTGGCACGTGCGGGAAAGTGGTGAGACAACATGCGGTTTAAATAATTCAGTACTCACGCCTCAGGTGTCGTGTATGGTAAGTCACTGTTTTCTCCATCGGACGTGGAAGGGTCGCTCGCCCTGCTCGTGTCCCTGTGGCCGCCCGCCTGTTCTCCGTCGCGAGCCCGGCACCGAGCCGAGCCGGATGGGAACGATGCTGACCTCTGACCTCGGCCGACAGGACACTCGCGCCTCCCGGCTGAGCCTGGACTCGGGCCTGCCGCCCACCGACGAGGCCGACGAGGAGGCCGAACCCAAAACCACCGCCGAGCCGCCCGCCTCACCCAAGAAAAAGGTGCGTGCAGGCGGCTCGGGCGACGTTTGCAGCTTGAAGCGCGATTTGTGTGTCGGTCAGATCAGTCTCGGCTGCCGTCGGAGATGATAATAATTCATGGGGCACAGCGATCTGTCCGTTAGACTCAACCGAGTGAGTTATTTTCCCCTTCGGCTTTCCAATAAAGCCATTCTCCTTTTGTACTTCTTCACAGGGCACAGCTTCAGAATGTGCGATCGCCTGGGTTGTGTTGTTCAGCGTGTAGCTGTTTATTCTCTGTTGTGTGCTATCATCGCTCGCAGCCCGTGATCACCCTGCATGATTTGTCGGCAGCCTGCGCCGAAACCGCCAGCGCCTGCTGAGCCGACCAAGTCCCCCGAGAAGAAGAAGCTACCAGCGCCGCCACCGCCGGTCGCCAGTGCAGTGGCGCCCTCAGTCCCGGCCGAGCCGGACACCGCGCCCGCTCCGTCCGCCAAGGTCCAACCGGACCCGGCCCAAACTAAGCCTGCCCCTGTGCCGGCGACCTCACAACCTGCAGTCGATCAGCCTGCAGCCGGTCAGCCTGCTGCCGGTCAGCCCGCAGACGCCCAGCCTGCTGCCGCTCAGTCTGCGGTAACTGAGCCCAGTGCGACTCCGACAGAGGCGCTGCCGTCGGTGGATCCGACACCGGCAGCGATCGAGGAACAGAAGCCGACGCCGGCGCGGCCGGCCGACCAGAGACCGGCACCAGAGTCGCCAGCCGAGCAGGCTACTGCGCCGCCGGCCGCGGCGGCACCAGCTGCGGCGGCGACCAGCGGTCCGCCGCCGGCCCCAGCGCCGGCGCCGGCCTCCGACGCCGAACCGACAGCGGCGACGGCCGCGGTGGGACTGGCGGTAGACGAGCCGCGGCCAGTGGCAGACGGCGGCGATGCGGAGCCCGCCCGGACGGAGCGGCCGGTCGCCATGGACGCGGAAGACCGGCCCGCCGGCCCGGCGATACCCCCGCCGCCCCCGCCGCCACCGCTACCGCCGGCCGGTGACGCGGCGCCGGAGCCGATGGAGACGGACGAGCCGCCGGCGCCACCTAAGTCTCCAGACGAGTCGCCGGCGGTGGCGCTGGGCCCGGCTGGCGACTGGGAGGCGGCGACGGGCGCGCCGCAGCTGACGCACGACCAGAGCGCGGCGCGCGTCATCGTGTCGGCCGGCGACGACCAGGCGGGTGGCACAGTGACGACGCTCATCCAGAGCGTCGACGGCGAGGCGCGCATCCAGGTGGTGGACGCCGGCCGAACCGGTGAGTGTGGGATGACGTGGGGCGTCGGGCCGGCAGGCGAGGTGTCGGGTACCGGGCGCACCGGGAAGACGCGTGCATGTGCTCCGTTCCCTTTGCCAATGGGTGGCGTTCAGCTGGTTAACAGTTGAGTGTGGAGATGGGCGTTCGATCCTGTCCTTGGTGCCGTTGTCTTTGTCATGGGCTGTCAACATTGGAGCTGCTTTGTCGCTATGTGTGTGGGTATGTGTGGGAAGGAGAGGAGTAATCCGCCCCCTGCTGTCCTGTGGTCTGTTTCACTGACCTTCCGGCGGTGTCTGCAGACTGGAGCGACGGCAGCCGCTCGCCGGAGGGCGGCGCCACCCCGCCCGGCACGGAGGCCGAAAGCGAAGCTGAACTGAGCGCGCACCAGATCATGGACTCCCTGATTGGCGAGGTACTGCGGCTCCAGGAGGAGGACCGGCGCGCTGAGGGCGACGACGACTCGGACGACGGCTCGGCCGCCGGCGCCGTCGACCAGTCGCTGGACGAGGCGCTGCTCTCGCTCGCTGACGACGAGGCGCCGGCCGACGGCGAACCCGTCAGCCTGCCGGCGGACCGGGCGACTGTGGACGGCTCGGAGCCGGCGGTCACTCACGCGGAGGACGGTCCGGAGACCAGCGCCGCCAACGCAGAGGGCGCGGAGGCCAGCGCCGCCCACGCGGAGGACGGCTCGGCCGCGGTCGTCGCCCCCTCTAAGGACGGCGGCGCGGGCGCCGACATCGCCCGTGCGGTGGACGACACGGGCGCCGGCGTCACGCGTGCCGAGGCCGACACCGCGCTGCCGGGGCGTGCCTCGCCCGCCAGCTCCGCAGCCAGCTCGACGGCCGACTCCGTGGACGCGCCGGCGGCGGCCGACGGCGCCGAATCGCGGCTGACGAACGGCGCGGCGCCGCGGCCGCCCGGCCAGCGGCTCGACGACAGCGAGGTGGTGATCGCCGGCAGCAGCATCGTACACGGCGGCCCGCCGGACTCCGACCCCGGCAGCCGGTTCGAGCTGACGCTGGAGGAGACTGCCGGCACGCCGCGGTCCGAGCCCGAGCCCGAGCACGCGCCCGAGCCGGAGCCGGCTGAGCCGCACGTGTCGGTCATACAAGTGGAGCCCGAGGAGGAGAAGGCGGCAGGTGGGTTAAGGTGGCGTGTCACTCGCCGGGCCCGCGGCAGGTTGACCGGGTCTGCTCGTCACTAGCCAACAGACCCGCGGCGATAAGTGCCCGGATATCACCACCTGAACTTGTTCAGGCTTGTCACATGGTGGCTGCTAGACCCGGGAAGGGGTAGGTGCTTGAATTCTATCTTATGTTATCTTTAACTTACCTTACTGCGCATGAATTTTACGCCTGCTCAATGTTAAACTACTGTTTCCTGTGCCTGATCATCTAACAGATTTGCAAGCCACTTTCATGGTGTCGTCATTGCACCATTTTATTTCTCTACGACTTTCTTCGAATGCCACTGAATGTAGCGTCCTTCGCCCCACCCGCTGTCCGTGGCGCGCGTGCCGGGCTGGCGTCGGCCCCCCGTCCCGGTGACAGTGCGTGTGCCCGGCGCCGCCAGGCTCTGAGGCCACGCTCACCTCCATGCTGGTGGAGGGCACGACGGTGGGCTCGTCCGACGTGGACCAGCTGGACGAGGACGAGGACGACGGCAGCGTGTTCTCGCCCGAGCTCAACTCCACCGCTCGGGTCAGTAGGCCCGGCCAGCTGCGCCGTCGGCTGGTGTGGATGGCGGGGGAGGCGGAGGGAGAGAGGCTCGGGTTAGTCTCATCACACGTGGAATCCGTGTATCGGATTTTGTAACCGAGTCAGTTTCCCTGGCCCTCCCTGGTCATGCGGCATTTGCCGATCACGACGCGTGCTTTACGGATGCTGCCGTATCGGACCGGGTCCCGTGGCTCCCCCCACCCCTGACCCCTGCCCCCGGGCCCGCCTGTGTCTCCTGACCCCACCCCTGCCCCTCGGGCCCGCCCGTGTCCCCTGAGTGTGGGATCTCCGCCGCCAGCCCGGCTCGCGGGCGAGCAGCGCCGACAGCGACGGCCTGCCCGAGGCCGACTCGGCCGGCAGTCAGAAGGAGAATATGCCGCCGCCGTCCGCGGTGCCCGCGCCGCGCCGCCAGCAGGACGACGACGAGGACGAAGACGTGGTGCTGAGGAAGAAGCGACCGCCGCTGTCCTCCCAGGTAACACCGGTCGGCCTTCGCCGTCCCCCCGGCGGGGTTGGCACCGCTGCCCTACTGGCGTGCTATCTTCGCCCGGGCAGTTTCGGGATGCGTGAGGAATGCGTTGTTGCAAGTGCTCCATTGTTGCCGTTTATGCACTTATTTCGGGAACACGAGGTGTATGTGGGCCATTGAGTGCAACCGTTATATTTATACACAACTAACCGCAGACCCGGAGACTCCGTGCTCGCCGAATGCGTTTCGCAAAAATCCCAAACCGTCACCCGGCTCGACCATAACGGCGTCAGTAGCTCAAACGCGACTCATCGCGCCGTGATGGTGGCAGGCGCGCGTGAGGTCTGACACCGCGCCCGGCCGCCGCCAGGACTCGTCCAGCGTGTCGCGCTCGTCCACCATGAGCCGCACCAAGGAGGAGCAGGCCATCTCGCACCTGCGCAAGAAGACGCGCAAGCGGACGCGGCGGTTCGAGATCGACGGCGTCGTCGTCACCACCACCACGCACAAGGTGTTCTACGGCGACGACGAGTCGGCGTTCGTCGACGAGCATGTGTTCAGGAAGCAGGAGCTGCGCGACCTCAAGATGCTGCAAAAACAGGAGCAGAAGCAGTTCCGCGAGCTCAACGCCAAGGTGCGTCATGGGAACTGGGAAATGCAAATTTCAGGAGGCAATGCATGCGGCATTGGACAATGTTCATTTCCATTCATCATGACCGGTGTGATCTGGTAACATGGTCGGTGCCATGTGCGATTGTCGCGTTGGGCTGTCCGGATCGGGCGGCGGACCGTCCGTAGTGAACGTCGTCCTGTGATTGGACCGCTCCACGTCCGCACGCTGACTGTGTCGGGCGCGCGGACGTGTCCGGATCGGACGGCGGACCGTCCGTAGTGAACGTCGTCCTGTGATTGGACCGCTCCACGTCCGCACGCTGACTGTGTCGGACGCGCGGACGTGTCCGGATCGGACGGCGGACCGTCCGTAGTGAACGTCGTCCTGTGATTGGACCGCTCCACGTCCGCACGCTGACTGTGTCGGGCGCGCGCCGCCGCAGTCGCAGCTGGGCCGCGACAACCAGCAGCGCAAGTTCGAGTCTGAGATGGCGCAGCTGGTGCGCCAGTACGACAGCGACCTGGACAGCCTGCAGCGGCAGCAGAAGACGCAGGTGGAGCGGGCCGAGCTGCAGCAGGATAACGACCTGCGCTCGGCGAGCAAGAAGATCCGCGCCGAGCAGGTCAGCGGCGGGGTCACTGCCGGGGCAGACATACGGGCAGCGTGGACGGGGTGGAGAGCGGGCATGACGACTACCGACCGCATAAACAAGGCGGACAATGTGAAAATGTGATGTGAAAGAACATTTTCGGTTCAGCTCACTGGCCAGTTTTTCCCACCAGTGAGATGGGGAGTAGCTGGTAAAGCGGCGAGTTATTTTCTTGGATTTATGTGTCAGATGTAACGCCAGAAGGCATTGCTGTGTTGATGACAAATGTCGATTGATAGATCTGACATCTTTGCCAATATTGAGTCCAACTTGTGAGCTGTATATTGGCAGAGATACCTTTGTCGTTGATTTTCCCATCCACCGTCTCCGTAAGGGCTTCGCGAGACGTTTTAAACATCTTGTGGGTGAATATCCGTACCGACTCCCCGGACGCAGGTGAGGAGGTGATTGCCAAAACAACAGGTGAAACAGCATTCAGCTGCCCACGATTCCCTGACTGTTGACTTCAGTACAGCTTCGATTATCAACATCAGTGCAGGCGACCGGATGGGCCCTGTGGGAAAGTTTGCGGCGCAGACGGGTGGACCGAACTGACTATCTCCCGCCCTCATCTCAGGAGCGGGAGCTGAAGACGTTCCGCGACTCGCTGAAGCAGGAGCTGCGTCTGCTGAAGCAGGAGACGGACATGCTGCCGCGCGACCGCAGGAAGGAGGCCCACAAAGTCCGCAAGGACAAGCTGGACGGCGAACACCAGGTACACAATGCGGCATCCGCCGGCGCTGGCCGTACCACTGACGCGTGCTCGGATCGGACGCAGAAGGTCCGGACCGGGCGTCGTCGCTTGACGTCGCCGGTCAGTAGGGCACATCAGTACATTGTAACGTTATTGGCGTCGGTTACAGCGCGATTGTGCAGTTGTGATGCGGTGGTGCGTATGTGTCCCAGTGTATTGCAGGACGGTGGTATTTTGAAGGGGTCGTGATCGCGTCTGTCGTGCTTCACAAAGTACCTGGTAGACCTGGCAGTCGAAGCTCGACAGATCGCCAGTCTGTTTCGGGGGAACGGTGGCCTATCACGACCGCGGGGAGGGAGAGGGGGAAGGGGATGCTCCGCTGGCGCCGGGGCGCACCGTCCGCTGGCCGCGCTGGGACACAGGGCGGATGGTGGTGAGGCCCGTCCGCCAGCGCCAGTGTCCGTGACCGCGCCGGGTCAGCGCCAGAGGCCGCCGCTGACCGGTGCCCACGTGGTCGGCAGGAGAAGGAGCGGGCGTTTATCGAGCGTCTGAACGAGTCGCACGAGTCGTCGCTGCAGCGGCTGGCCGAGCAGCACCGCGAGAAGATCGCTCTCATGGAGAAGCAGTTCCTGCAGCAGAAGCAGCAGGTCGGGCGTCGGCGACGACCAGGGACTTGGTGCTGAGCTCTGGGGCACGGCGGATCAAGTGCTGGGCCAGGGATGGCGTGCTGGGTAGTGGGCTGATGGCCAGAACCACGTCTACGCTAATGCATTCTAAGCGCGCCGCGGTGGTACTTGGCCGACGGGTTTGAGTTGTTTGGTGTTAAGTGTCATATGCTCTGGCTCACTTGCCATGGACATATGTCCATGTGCTTTTTGTCGAATCCGAATCAAATATGCCTCAAATCAGATCCTGAAGCTAGGTCCAAGTTTCGAGTGGTGCTTGGGAGACACATGCCGTGAGAACGCACCAGCTCAGCTGGCTCGCGTATTGACTCCGGTATATCCACAGTTGCTGCGCGCCAAAGAGTCGGCCGTCTGGGAGCTGGAGGAGCGTCAGATCCACGAGAAGCACCAGATGAGCAAACACCAGGTCAAGGAGGTGTTCTTCCTGCAGCGACACCAGGTCAGCGAGCGCGGCTTGCCCGACAGGCGTCCTGTCGGCCCCGCCCTGTGCTCGACCCGCCCTGCTTCCGGAACGCGGCGGGACGTGTACCGTCGCTGCTGCCGGCGCCGGTACGCGCCGGTGCCGGTCCAGACGAGGTCCAGACGGCAGTGTCCTGTCGGTTCCGCTGATGGCTGTATTGCTTGATGTGGCTGGCGGCTGGCGTCTGGTGACGCGATCCACAGTCATGCCGACTGTGCTCGACGTGGTTGACTGTGCCAGTCTGGCCACTCTCCTGGGTTATTATTATCCGCTATCTTTATCAGCGACTCCCGCGCCTCCGTCGGATGACTCGCCGCCCTTCTGAGCGGCTCTCCCCGGGACCGACTCAGTCCTGCTCCGCCAGATGCTGCTGCGCCACGACAAGGAGCTGGAGCACGTGCGGCGCATGAACACGCGGCGCACGGACGAGCTGGCGCGCCAGCAGCAGGTGGAACGGCGCGCGCTGCCCAAGCGCATCCGTGCGGAGCGCAAGGCGCGCGAGCTCATGTTCCGCGAGAGCATGCGCATCAGCAACACGCTGCCGCACCGCGCCAGCCTCTCGGAGGCGGACGGCGACGAGCGGGACCGGCTCAAGAAGTTCCTGGAGCAGGAGCGGAAACGGTGCGTGGTGCCGCCGCGGCGCTCGACAGCCGGCTGGCGACGCCGTGTGGGCAGTGCCGGCTGGTCCCGTGCGGGTAGTGGGGTTCTCACAGTGCGCGGTGGGGGCTGTGGGACGCTGACGCGGTTTGCGGCGCCGGCTAGGACCGGCTTGTGAGTCTGGCAATGGTTAACATCCCGGAGGGTCATTGTGACGTTGCTAGTCCGACAACGTGCTGCGCGCCACCGTTAGTTTCCACGTCGGTGTCATGCTCTGGCCTCGACTGAAGCGGCCGTCACTACGCGTCTTCCCGCCGGCCGTAGTCGGCTCGCTCTGTGCGTGGCCTGAGCCTCTCTTTCTGAGCGCACAGAGCGGGGCGGCCAGTCAGAGGAGTGTACCCGCGGCCGCTGTTGGTGACTGTCGGCTGGTGTGACGCAGGTACAAGGCGGAGGAGCAGCGGTTCGACCTGAAGCACAAGCGCAAGCTCGAGGAGCTGCGGGCCAAGGGCGATGCCACCATCAAGGAGCTGGAGCAGCTGCACAACGAGAAACGTGGGTGGTTGGGCGAGCTTGGGGTGTCGGCCTACAGGAGCGCATGAGCCTCCCGATAAACGGAGGACCCGTTTTGAAATTGGTCCGTCCCTGAATCCGCGTAGGGTTAATACTTAAATGGCGGCAGTTGTGGAGTGTGGTGCAGTTTGACCGCATCGATCCCCGGCTTTTCCCTGCGCGCGGCCGGTGGGTTTGGGACCTTGCGACCCGGGGCCAGTCGACACAGCTGAGCCGTATGGCGACGCCACCGGATATTGTCACCTGAGAATCCCAGCACGTCGACTTGGGCGTTCCTTGAACACTGGCGATGGATACTAGGGATGTTGCCAGCCCCGTTATGTGCCAATTCACCGGCCATGTCGTTTTGGTCCGCCGCTCTTGCGTTGGGGGCCGCCGCAATGACGGCGTCTTGGTTGGCACGCGCAGGTCGCATGCTGATGGAGCACGAGTCGATCAAGCTCAAATCGCTGGAGGAGACGTACCAGACGGAGCTCAAGGAGTGGAAACACTCGCTGAAGCCCCGCAAGCAGGTGAGCATGACCGTTAGAGTCGGTAGCCTGGCCGGGCTCTCCCGGTGTGCGGCTCGGTTGATCAGGCCGGCTTGTCGGGCGGCCAGAGATGCGTGCGAGGAGACGCGACGTGCAGCTGACCTGTCCTTCAGACCGAGCCTTGGCGCGTACTTCTCCCTCACAAACCTAGGCCGTTGAATGGATTGCGATGCTACAACTTGTGTTTTGACATGGAAGGCTGAGCGAGCTTGTCCATGAGCGCCGCCTGTCCGTGCCGCTGGCCGGGCCGAATACTGTCGGCTCTCGCCTGGTGACCGCTGCCCGGAGCCGGACCGGGCGCCCGCTGAGCGTGCGCGCGCCCGCCGCCAGAAACTGGAGGACGACTTCGCGGTGGAGCTGGAGGAGCAGGAGCAGTTCTACACGGGCCCGGTGGGCGCCGGCGGCTACACGGCGCCGCTCAGCGACGGCCGCGCCAGCCTGGGTCGCGTCAGCACCTCCAGCTACCGGTCACAGTGACGCGCGGCCGCCGCCGGCCACGGTCACGGTCACGGTCACGGTCACGGCCGGTCAGGGGCCCGTGCCGGTCGGTTGGGGCCCCGGTGACGACGGATCAGGGTCGCCATCGGTGTGACACCCGGTCAGGGTCCCGGGGACGGCCGGCTAGGGTGCCACGACGGTCGTTTAAGGGGTTTTGCGACGGCCGGTCAGGAGACATCACGACGGACGAGGGTGCCGCGGGCAGCCGGTGATGTTCCTCCTCCGCCGACGGCAGTAGTCCGTCCTCCGGTGATACTGGCGACCTGGACCGCTAGCAGGGACGGCGACGGCGCTGCCTTGACTGAGCGCCGCCGCGGCGACACAGCGGAGTCTTCTCACACCAGGTGTGCTGGCGAGCCTCGCCCCCCTTCGTCGGCGCGTCTTCCGCGCGATGGTGGACGCGCTTCGGTTGACCAGAGCTTGACAATATCGATCGCAGTGACGTTTTATCTTGTGACTCCCCGCGCCTGTGTTCTCTCGTCGCTGCCCACAGTGGGGGCGCGTTTTACTGCAGCCGATCTGTACGGTGATTCAAAGTGTGGCTTTATCTATGCAATGCCTTGGGTGCCGGCCCTGCGCCCGAGCCTCCAGGAGGCGGGCCGCGGGCCGAGTGTTGACCACTTGACGCGCGTGTTAGCTTGGGGACCCAGCGCGGCCCGCCGGGCGGCGCCGCCCCGAGCGGGACGACCAAAGTGCGGACGGCGGCGCGGCCGTTGCGCCGGAGCTGGCGCCGCCGCGTGCAGTATTCCGCGTGTGATGACGGGCTGTCGGAAGCCTCCCCTGAGCAGGCCCAACGGCGACGCGCGTATTTAATCGCTTCACCCGTGTACACGACCCACGTGCGACTAGCTTCAGCTGCTCTAACCAGGGGAATCTACGGGTTAGTGGAGGGTGTGAGCGGGCTGGCGCCGGTCCGCGCGTCTGTGATTGGGCTCCGACCGCCCGGTGACATTCCGCCGAGACGGCCCGGCCGGCCGCGCCCGGTGCGGCGGCGGCGGCGCCGTCTGCCCGTCTGTCGGCCGCCACGCCCGGTTCATAATAAACGGTACCGATCTGCGCAGCGTGTGTGCGGGCAGCGGAGAGCGGGCGGCCGCGGCTTGCAGCCAGACTGACCACGGCCAGGTCACCCGCAGGTCAACGCTTTCCCATGGGATAATGCTGGGGTGTGGCATGTCTCGGTACATATTCCTCAAATTTGCCATGACAAGCGTTCATCGGACCCTGGCCTAAAGGTTTCGTCGAAGGCATCTACCAGACCACCTTCGGACTATAAACTACATCCAATGTCCCTGCAGGTCATTCTGCATTGATCGAAAGCTTGGCAGAGATCAGTCCTAAGTATGCGTAGCCTTTTTCAAGTGTTCCCACTGCCAGTGTAACGCGAAAAAACGTAGTTTGTTTCGGTCTTAAAGGCAAACAGTACCAAATAATTTCAACGTGGCAGGTGGGACCACTCCGTGTCAGACTGGCCCAGGCCATCTGCCCATTGACCGCTACCGATTATTTGCACAAACGCTGCACGTGCGGCGCGAGCCCTCAGTGCGCCTCAGTTTGACCCACCGACCAGCCGTCCGCCGGCCGGGCTTCGGTGACGGCTTCCACATAACTCGGGGAGGTGGGATTTGCTTCACGGATGGTCCACACACTGGGAATGCATGTGCCCACTGGTATGTATCTATCCACATCCATCCACTGGAATATAACCTGGCATATCATTTTAGCATTTCTCCACCTGATCTCGAATGAGAACAAAACCATGCAACTTGCGATTTTGACACCCACTTTTGACACTTGCAATGGTGTCGTGTTGCAACGCCCGCGTATGCAAGAGGAAAACTACTCATCACAGTGGTTAGCCCCCAGCGTAAGCATTAATCATTAGCATTTGGGTTTCGACTGCAGGCAGCCATTTAGAGCCTACTTCTTTGCCAGGCGATCTTTAGTCATCCGGCGCATGCGCAGATGGCGCGCCAAGCGCTCCGAGTCATCGAGCCTGACAGGCGTCTCAAAGCTGGAGTCGCACACAGTCGCGGAGCATTACACGGGTTAACAGATTATCTGAGAGTCTACGTGCTCTGCAAAGTTTAAATGGCCCTCGCTTCAGACAGGTTCCTCCCTAATGAAGTAAGGCAGCCATTCCCGGCCGGGCGTACGGGCCAAAGGAACGCTGCCGCCCAGCTCCAGTAGTGACACTGCGTAGTCACATGGGCAACTATCAGTGTGTGATCACATTGACCTGCTAGAAAATGTGAGCTCCGTAGGTGTAGCCGATAATGAGGCGATAAATGGCCGACTTCGTTCCTGCTGCTGTCGCGTTGGGAGGACACCCAATCATCACCGTGTCTTGTCTTGTCTGAGTTTATTATTCATGCTATCGTCGGTATCTGTGCTCAGCTGGTCGCAAGCCTGTGTGCCAGTTTGTGTTGCCAAACGACCAGACAACAACCGCTTGAAGCGTGGTGCTTGGACCAAAGCAAAGTGGAGGGCCGTCTGCGTTCCCTTTAGCAGCAGCGTCGACTCTTCCATCCCCACCAGCCCAATGACACCCAAACAAAAACCGCCGTGTTTTCCGGCCCTCTCAAAAACTGCCACCCGCTGTCAGGATGTCCTTCACTAAGGCATGCTTAGTTTCACATGCTGCATAGAGTCTGGTACATATAAATGACGCTCCGCTCGGTAGTTCTCTGCGTAAAGACAGCACCTCTCTCACAGCGCAATCTAACAGTAACAATCGAGCAGTGCACACTTGAGCATAGTGTAGCACCATGTGATGTAACATGTGAAAACTTGGCCAACCGGCACACACCTCGTCCCTTCTTGGCTTGGAACCATCCCCGTATATATTTACCAACCCATTGTACTCTAAGTGAATATGGCAAAGAACCTCAACTAGGGACTCCTCAGCAGTCTTCAGCAGCTTTTGGCCGGCGCGCAGATGGCGACTTTCGGCTGCGCTCGTAGCACATCGCGATCGTACCGACACGTGCCTCACAACCTACATGCACTTTCTTACACACGACGACCATGTGGTCATGCAGAGCATCAAGCCAGTTTCTAAGAAGGGCTCAAGCGAGCACTCGTTTGTCCCTCGACAGTCAGCCGTTACCCTCGTCGCCGCAGAGCAACAGAAGACAGTTGCATGGTTTATTGTAACGCCTAGGTATCTGGTACATGGTAGCTGGTTATAACAAGACCGGGCACACGCACACGAAAGCTCAGCCTAGCAACGAGGGACAGACATTAAGTACGCGGTTAAATGCTGCGCGGCTCGGCTCACGCACTTACATCAACCCATCGGCAGGGGTGCTACAGGGCACTACAAGCCCCGCGCGAGTGTCACTACACAGGCGACAGAAGACCATTCCCCAGCGCCATACACTCGGACGCCCACGGCAACACGCGCACGTCCCGGCGTAAAATACTATTCACATCCGCGAGCACGCCCCGATCCGCGCGATTATAAAACGGCGCGCGTCGCCACCGCAAGGCCGGCACTCTGCCGTCCATTCCGGTCCGTAGCAGCACGCCGTCCAGTCCGGTCCGTAGCAGCCTGCCGTCCATTCCGGTCCGTAGCAGCCTGCCGTCCAGTCCGGTCCGTAGCAGCCTGCCGTCCAGTCCGGTCCGTAGCAGTCTGCCGTCCAGCGCTCGGCCAACTGCACAACCTGCAGTCTGGTGCTGAGCCGGCACGATCACCGTATACACAGCACGTGCCACCGCAGCGGTCGCAACTGTCCCCACGCACCGCACGCGGCCTGGGCCACCTTGCCCGGGCACAGTCCGCGGCTCCCCGCGGCGCCACTCGCCACCACTACCCGCACAGTGCCGCGCCGGCGACGCCCACACCCCGCCCGAGCTGCCAGTGGACGCCGCCACGCAGCGGCCGCGCGGCGCGCTCAGGGTCTTGTGCCGCTTGGAGTGTCCCTCGAGCGCAGTGGAGCAGCGGTCGCGGGTCTGCTCACGGTCCACGCCGGGCCCCAGCTCGTCGGACGGCCGCTTGGCGCCCGGTTGGACAGGCGCACAGCGTCTCCATGTCGTTGAAGATAACGGCGCGGCCGCCGCCGACCGTCGGCACCACGTCACCCTGCGCCGGCAGAGAGGGTCCGACGTTAGACACGGCCGGGGCAGCGGCACCAGACGGTGGCGCTGGTGTGTGTGGTGCGCCGGCGAAGGCGGACCAGTCCGAAAGCTGACAGACAGTTGCTGGACAGTTGCTGGTGGTGCACTCAAGACAGCTGTTTACATCTTCGCTCTGCGAGTCGATGCTGATGGGCCCCGTCAGAAAGCACGCGACCCGCGCATAAGACACAAAGCAGAACGAACACTGAACACAGACGGAGGAAAGCGTTTCCCACGGACTAAATTCGCATTAGTGAAGCGCGCGCCCTGCCGAGCAGCTGATGAGCAGGATGGGCGGGAAGGGGCGAGCAAGCAGGCTCACCTTGATCTTGTGCGTCTCCACCTCGCCGGCCGAGTCCTGGTCCTGATGGGTCAGCACGTACTTGGACGTCTTGTCGTTGATTCACGTCCTTGGCGTCCAGCTTCGTCACCGACTTGCGCTTCTTCATCTTTGGCTGCAAGCGGACCGCGAGTGCGCACTGAAAGCCCGCACGGGACAAACACGCAGGGGACACGAGAGACCAAGCGTACCGACGGCCACGAGTTAGCCCAGGGGACTGCGGTGCTGGGGTTTGAGTACGGGGAGTTGGTGCGCTTGTGGTAGAGCGAGGCAGGCAGCATATGTGACACGCAGAGATCAGTCAGCGTTCTCCAGCAGTGTTTCCCGTAACCCTTCAGCGCCACCCGTCATCAACCCGTTATCGGTCCACTGGCAGCCTACCGGATGGCCGACAGACAGCGGCCGGCCGCAGCTCGTTACCTGGAAAATGGTGGCCAGTTCGAGCACGTGGCCGGGGCGATGGTCCAGCCACACCTCGGCGTCAGTCGACTTGGAGCGGCGGTGGCGCGGATTGGCGATGGGCACAGTCTGCGGCGGAGGCGGGCCGTCAGAGCAACCGCAGCAACCGCCCGACGGTGGAGGCGGCCGTCAGAGCACCGCCCGACGGCGGAGGCGGCCGTCAGAGCACCGCCCGCCGGCGAAGGCAGCCGTCAGAGCACCGCAGCACCGCCCGCCGGCGGAGGCGGCCGTCAAAGCACCGTCCGACGGCGAGGGCGGCCGTCAGAAGCACCGCCCGCCGGCGAAGGCAGCCGTCAGAGCACCGCAGCACCGCCCGACGGTGGAGGCGGCCGTCAGAGCACCGCCCGACGGCGGAGGCGGCCGTCAAAGCACCGTCCGACGGCGAGGGCG